AGAGGAAGAACTACCAAATTCCTTCTATGAAGGAATCACTCTAATACCAAAGCCAGGTAAGGATACAACCAAAAAAGAAAACGATAGACTCATATCCTTAATGAACATAGCTGTAAAATGCTCAACAAAAGACTTGAAAACTGCATACAGACACGCATCAAAAAGATCATCCACCATGATCAAGTTGGCTTTATTCCAAAGATGCAGGGATGGTTCAATACACGTGTCAATAAACCTCAGACATCATATAAATGGGCTCAAAGACAAGAACCACATGATCATCTCAATACATGCAGAGAAGGCCTTTGACAAAATTCAACATGCATTTATGTTCAGAGTCCTAGAGGGAACTCTACAGGAGGGAACATAAACCAACAAAATTAAAGCCATATATAACAAACCCATAGCCAACATCATTCTACATGGAGAAAAACTGGAAGCATTCCCATTGAAATCAGGAAGCAGACAAGGTTGTCCACTATCTCCACTCCTCTTTAACATAGTGCTTGAAACTCTTGCAAGAACAATAAGAAGAAAAATAAATGAGTAATAATTGGAAAAGAAGAGATCAAATTATCCCTTTGTATGGACAATATGATGTTATACCTAAGAGACACCAAAAATTCCACCAGAAAATTCCTAGAAATTATAACAAGTTCAGTAAAGAGGAAGGTTACAAAATCTGTAGCCTTTCTATATATATCAGAGAAAGAGTACATGGAAACACTCTGCTTCACAATAGCTGCTAAACAAAATAAAATATCTCAGAATAAACTTGACCAGACATTAAAGACCTCTACAATGAAAATCTTAAATCTTTAAAGAAAGAGATTGACAAAGACATCCAAAGATGAAGGACCTCTCATGGTCATAGATTGGAAGAATTAATATTGTGAAAATGACCATCCCATCCAAAGCCATTTATAGGTACAATGCAATGCCAATCAAAATCCCCATGACATGTTTCATAGAATTGGAAAAAAATATCCTAAGATTCATATGGAAGCCCAAAAGATCTCAGATAGCCAGAGCAACCCTGATCACTAAGAGCAAAGCTGGGGGTATAGATTTTAAACTGTAATACAGAGGTATAGTCATAAAAGAGCATGGTACTCATACAAAAATAGACCCAAAGCTCAATGAAACAAAATTGAAGACCCAAATATGAGGAAATGACTTTTCAGCCACCCGATATTTGACAAAGGGTCAAAGAACATTCACTGGAGGAAATACAGCATGTTCAGCATATGGTACTGGCAAAACTGGATCTCCATCTGTAGGTGAATGAAACTAAAACCATACCTTTCACCTTGCACAAAAGTCAACTCCAAATGGATCAAAGACCTCAATGTGAAGCCTGGAACTCTGAAACTGTTAGAAGAAAACATGGGCAATAACCTACAAGATATAGGTGTAGGAAAGGATTTCCTACACCAGACATCAATGGCTCAGGAAA